CTTGTATATTCTCCTCCATTATCCTATCTAAGTACCTTAATTTTAGCATTGAAATGATTAGTAACATAATTTTGAAAGTTTGTAAAAGCTTCATACACACGATCTTTAGAGGGTAACAATGTGATCCAAGTATACTTTGATTTTCCATCAATAAAGGTCACAAAGTACTTATTGTTGTCTCTAGATATGCATGGTGAAGTCCAAACATCCGAATGCACTAAATTAAAGCAATTTTCATAAATGGTCTTAGATTTAGGGAAAATAGACTTGCAATGTTTACCAAGAATACAAGACTCACAACTAGAACTATCAAATGAAACATTAGGCAACATCAATTCAAGAGCACGAGAGTGAGGATGGCCTAATCTAGCATGCCACACGACATTAGAACTTAAAGCAAGACAAGCATTAAACGAAGTAGAAGAACTTGGTAAGGTTTTCTCAAGAACATAAAGATCTCCTTTGGCATTTCCTTCTCCAAGTCTTTTCCCGGTCTTAATATCCTGAAAATAAACCTCATTAGGACCAAATATAGTATAGCAATTGAGATCATTAGTAACCCTTTTAACCAATAAAAGATTAGAGGTAAAGGTAGGCATATAGAAGGATTTAGAATTCTTATCAAATAGTCTCAATTCCCCTATTCCTTTTACCGGTATCTTATATCCATTAGCTATCTTTACATTCCCTAAGGCCATATGTTGTCTATAAGGCTCGGGTTACTAATCATATGGTGAGAAGCACCCGAGTCAATGACAAGTTTACTACTAGGTTTAGAAGCAAAGAGAGAGATACCGGATTCCTTAACTGAGGCAATGGATCGTATGAGAGCTTCCAAGTCTGATTTTCTCACAACATCACCATGAGACGCAGCCATGGCCACTTCCTCTCCTTGTGTGCTCGATCTGGAACCGCCTTCTTGCGAGATATTCGCCTTGAACTTAGCCGGCTTGAGATGGGGATGGAGGATCCAACATTTATCTTTTATGTGACCTCTTCTCTTGCAATGGTCACAAACCACCACCTTCTTGTCTTCTTGCTTATATGTTCATTTGTTGGCCATGATGAGCTCCCCCTTACCACCAAAAAGTCGAGAGAGCCTTGCTCCTTTTGCACTTGAGCACACACATCATCAAGAGAGGGAAGCTTATCGGCTCTAAGTAAGTGCGTGATGAGGTCGTTGTAAGCTGGATTAAGGGTAAGAAGGAGACCAAAGACCTTGTCTTGTTCCTTTCTCTCATTGAGGATGGACGGATCCACGGTACTTGGACGGAGCATCTTGAGTTCAGCCCACAAAGACCGATACTTTCCAAAGTGTTTTGTAAATTCCAAGTCTTCTTGACTTAGGTTATTGATAGCCTTCTTGACCTCAAACACACGGGTCAAGTTGGACACATTCCCATAGACATTCTTGAGCGTGTCCCAAAGTTCCTTTGCGGTTTCACAATAGGAGTACGCTTCAAGTATGGAGGGTTCAAGGGAGTTTTGAAGGATGGCTAGCACGGGTTGATCTTCTTGGAACCATTTGGCTTCCTTCTCAAGCTTGGCTGCCTTGTCTTCTTCTCCCTCGGTCTCCTTTTCATCTTTCTTTGTGACTTCTTGAGTGGCATGGTTGACCTCAACGTGACTCCAAAGCCCTCTGCCACAAAGAGCAGTTCTTGTGGTTCTTGTCCACAAAAGATAGTTTACACCCTTAAGAACGACCGGATTGATAATCGGTTTTGGGTTCTCCATGGTGAGAACTTGAAGATCTTAGAAGAGAAAGTAGATCTAGATGTGGAAGAAATAAATAGATCTAGATCTAGAGAAAAGATTGAAGAGAATGAGAAGAGTATAGAGAGATTAGGTAGAATAGAGATGTTTAAGGAGCATAGAATCGAAAAACATGCTCTGATACCATGCTAGATTAAGCGGAATAACAAGAGAGAGATGCTAGATTTGAGTAACAAGAATAAGAAAGAGATTGGGAGAGAAGATGAATAGTAACCAAGAATAGAAAAGAGAGAGAAATTACTCTTCTTACTTTGTTAGGTTTACAACCACACATATAAATAAGTGGGATAAGAGATAAGCTTACAAGGGAAGCTAACAATATGTGACTAACACCCCTTATAAAGTACCTTATAAAGTACTTTATAAGGTACTTTATAATGGTCTATTCTATCTGTACTTTATAAGGTACTTTATAATGGTCTATTCTATCTTGACATACTCAATAAGATCTTGATCAATAGACACCATCACCAACGTATGTTGCATCACAACTGAGATGATCTCTTCTCTCGTGCAGTTTTATCATTTCATAGCAACTATAATGTCTCTCATTATTAGAGTCATCTCATGAATTCCATTACGGTGGAGTCCTTTTCCTTACCTTTTCTTTGTGAGAACGGTATATCTTTATCTTGATGTCGGTTTGGGACAGTTTCTCGACGGTTCCGCTCAAGCATCTTCCATGTCCGTTATGGGACCATTCAATTACGATATAAGTATGGCATTCCACTGCCAATCTTTGATTGATACCGGTGCACTTCCAAGTGAAACGTTGAGGCTGATAGCAAAACTTCCTCGCAAATTGTGCCTCGGCCGACGGATATGGGATCCAAGAATATTATATTTAGGAAGATGTGATGAATTGGTGGACAAGAAGCTTGTTAGTATTATCGACAATCGACCATACACTGACAAATCCATGGTCACTAACAAGCGATATCACGGTATTTCATAAGATAATGATTCAGAACCATCTCAAACAACATATCATATTTATTGCCTGATTAGAGTGATGCTGAAAGCATTTAGGAGTCTCATCTATAAGATGTTAGCCTTTTACGAGTGTATGAAGAGGGGACTTAAGATATTTATTCTGTTGCCCGTAAGGCTTCTAATTGGAAGTAGGGTTACTTCCACTTCTTCATCGAAATTGTGTTCAATTTCCTTTATTTGTTTCACAGGTTGTATTTGAATGGTTTTGTGTCATGTATACTCTTATGATCTAATATATGATTGATCGTATTTAAAAAAGAACAATTAAACATATATGAGATACAATTTATTGCATAAATAACATAAAGCACAATTAATTTTAAACGTGATTTGTTGAATATTTTGTCCATATGTGCTCGACCAAATCGTTCTTCAATTGTTCATGCATAGCTCGATCACGAATTCGAGTACTAGTGGCCATCATATCGACGAGATTTGTAGGCATATTGACAATGGCAAATCGACCTTGCAAAAATCCAAAAGCACGCTGGACATATTTACGGCAAGCTTCTTGATTGGTGGCAAATAAAGATGCTTTCTCACCTTGTGGAAATGGAATCGATGGGATAAATAAAGCCCATAGGTTAACTTCTATCAGTCAGATAATAACCCAAATGATACTCGTTCCCGTCAACTACATACTTCACTTTTGGTGCTCGTCCTTATTAAGATGTTAGAAAAAATAGGAGAGCGATCAAGAATATTAATATCGTTCAAAGTACTAGAGGTCCAAAAAACGCATGCCATATCCAAAGATCTTGGGAAGTTCAAGCCTCTAATGCGATCGTTAGTTTTTCAGAACCACGTGTATATTGCCCTTTCCAAGCGGTTGGGAAATTCTTCCACTCCCAATGCATACAATCGATGCTTCCCGTCATCCTGGAAATCCTCTAATCTCTCCACTAATGAGTAGCCTTTGAAGATCTTATGCGGTGGGTTTTCCTAGATACTCATCTCCAAAGCAATAAATTATTCCGTCGACAAAATGTTACATGCACTTCATGGAAGTGGTTTTACCAATCCGTATGTATTCGTCAACCGCATCAGCCGCACAACCATATGCAAGGATATAAATTGTTGTTGTACACTTCTGTAGTGCAGAATTATAGGACCTTCCGATATCATCTCTTCTTTGTTGAAAGAAAGGAATTTCATTGGATAGCTGATCAACAATACGCATGAAAAAGAGCCTATTCATTCTAAAACGATGTCGGAATACAGAAGTAGGAAAAGTGGCATTTTCTCCTAAATAATCGTTCCATAACTTGATGTGTCATTCTTCACTGTGTCTTTCAATGTAGACTTTTTTTTCTTTGGTTTTATGGCTTGTTGAGGATCACCGTAAGAATACAAAAAATTATCCAATTCTTGCTAGAAAATATTATCTAATTCTTCGTTTAAAGCTTCTCCTAGTTCAACACGTGAAGATGATGCCATTGAAAGAAGTAGAAAATATAGGATTTTTTGTTTTAAATAAAAAGGATGGTGGGGATTGATTTGGTAGGAGAATATAATATGAAAGCTTGGATTGGTACAAGTAATTGTCTGGATTTTGTATGAAAGCTTGGTTTTCTACAAGTAAAAGAAAATAAGAAAGCTTCGATTGGTACAAGTAAAAGGAAAGAGAATGACTTTAAATTCCCAAATCCGACGAACCCTAAATTCTATATTTAACACAATTAGATACAAAACATACCTTCAACGAGAGAGAGAGAGAGAGAGAGAGAGAGAGAGAGAGAGAGAGAGAGAGAGAGAGAGAGAGAGAGAGAGAGAGAGAGAGAGAGAGAGAGAGAGAGAGAGAGAGAGAGAGAGAGAGA